GTTTCGTGTGTAAGTATTTTCTCGCGTTTTCGACACACCCAATGCTCAATGCGTACAATGTATTCGTATGCTTTGAGATAAAATACTTCAACAATGAGTCTAAACATAGATAGTCTAGTGTGTAATTGCCGGCTGTGCCTGTCTGCGTGCGACGTCAGATAGCCCAAGGTCATCAGTGATCAAGTTCCCTGTTAGTGTAGCTGCCGTGATACTGTCGCTACTCCATCGTCTCATAGTTTTTTTCTCCGAGATTCCGGAGAGTTGTACTGCTGGGTGAGGGTCCCGAGTCAACAGGCACAAGTGTGTGCGGTGCAACACCGCAGCAGGAGAGGGGGGCACCCCAACAGCAATTTCAGTTCAAATCCAGCTGACGCCATTCAATAGTACTCCACCTGTAGTACGTGTTGCAGCACAATTCCAAGTGCTGTACAACTGCAAGATCAGCAGCTAACGTTACCAATGCTCGGTGTTGCCGGCAGTGTGAAAGAAAATAAGCATGGTGCCTGTATGTAAATGCAAGTTTTCAACTTCATCTGTGTCTACCTCTTCATTCTCGCCACGAGTCAAGTTCAACTCTTCTGCAATATACTCTATGGTACTCAGTCCATCTTTCCTCAAATTTTTGTGGCGATTGATGGTGTAGTGGGCGCGTTCTTGTGCTTGATCGCTTTGGCGGGTGCACAGCAGGGTGGTTGCGCCGCGTAGATACGAGTCTCACATTTTTTTAGGGGAGGAGCTGCGTGTTGCGCCGATAAGTTTGAAGCCTACAGTGGACGGTAAATCTTAGTTCCCTAGATAGCTACTGGTAAAGTCTACAGCTGTAAACCTTTAGCCTTGGGTGGATGTACGCCGGTCGCGCTCCTAATCTGTGTAAAACGATATTTTTTGTTCCTCCGCTTATTTTTTATTTTTTTCAGTCGTGCAGCACTGAGCGAGCGTCCTTCAAGCGGGGTCACCAGTATGCATACTACTACTGCTGCTGTAGGAAGATCTTGATTTTGTGTTCGAGTAGAGTACATTCACGAGCAGTTGGTCATGCGTTTCAAGAGAACGTGGATAGAAGGAGTGACCTGGGAACCCTTGCGTGTGCCTAACTGCTGTACCAACTTCAAGTATCTTCGAATGCATAGACTGGATGGGAAGACATCCTCCCGTTGGAGGCAGAAATGTTTTGTGGTAGACACTTCTAGACGCAAGCGCCCGGCAGAAAAACATCACGTGGCGAACAGGAACCAAGGCACATGTGTATCATCATGTCATCTTGAAGCGGCATACTTTGCTGTCCTGTAAAAAGCCGGAGGGAGAGCGGGGCCCTACAGTACAACTATGCATACAAGCACACCCACCTTCGCTGGCCCGCTGCGCTTCTTGATGGACCTGATGCAATTCTTGTTGCGTCTATTGCAGAGCGCGCACGGCGTTCCTCCGCTGCATCCTCGCTTCATCCTGATTTTTGATGCCCGTCCAAGAAGAAACGATAATGATTACTACGGAGTGCTACGGAATTACGAAGGAGGAAGACGTGGTCACGCATGCTAACGACGAAAGGCGCACCCAAGTCTTAAACTAATTCCAGATGCCTCGTCTGTGTTTGGTTTATTTCGTTTTTGTTTTGTTTTTTACTGGCACGTACTGTTGACCCTTTGGGTCCTTCCGGAAGGCTACCCCCCAGGCTGGTGGTGCGCACGTTCCACTATTTATTTATTTGTTTGTTTCTGATTCTTCTTTTTTTATTTTTCGTGTTTTCTTGTATTTTATCGCTCTGTAACCTTTGGGGTCCATTTTATTTTGGTATACCTTTTCTAGGTACGTTAGCCTGTGACCACGGAAATTGACCGAGTCAAGTGCTGGATTAGTACGGAGAGATTGAGACAGAAGGAGGTACTGGATAGAGAGACCGGGATGGTTTTTAATGTGAAGACAACAACATTACACTCACAACGGCTCTGCGAATACACACGCCCTGACACATGCACAGAAAAAGAAAATATGGGTACAAAAAGGGGTAGACAGATCGTCAACACGAATGGATTTATTTCTCACCTCACGCAGTAGTCGCAGCTTTTCCGCAGCGCTTGGTGTTCTTGGTCCTGCTTGGCGGTAAACGGGAGCACCCCCAGTGTGCACGAATGCATGTGGTTGTTCGAGCGGGAGAAAGACCGGGAGCAAACCAGCGTCGAGTTTTGGATGTTGGTTGGCATCGAGATAACTTGCTTTGTGAGAGCGGACTTCGTTCCGAGGACACCCGAATTTTGAGAATGTGAGGATAAGATCTGTATGCGGTCGCCCGGCCAGGGTGCAGAATTGTACGCATGACATCGAAAACCGAGCAGCAGGCGGTGTGGCCCCAGCCCCCAGGAGTCCGGTGTGTCCCAAGCGGTCGAGTCAGCCACCCGAGACGCACGATCTATATCTCTCTCTCGCGGCGGCTGGTGCAGCGGCGGCAAGTGATGCTGCCTGCAATCAAGAAGTAACCAACCATTGCATCCACGCCGGCAGCACCAGACAGCAGAGAGAAGGATGGCCGCGACACGCTGCTGCTGCTGCTGCTGCTGCTGCTGCTGGCCTACACCCCGTACGCTAGCACAAACACAGAGGCTCCACACCGCCATCGCTCACGATCAAACTTATGCCACACCGCGTGTGGCTTGTTGACACTCTCTCGGCGAAAACCCATCTATTCTCGATTAACCTACACAAAAAGAACCCCGCACACAGCAGCAGATTGGCACCATGGCAGCAGCAGGAGCAGCTGGTGGGAGACAAATGACATACAATGTACATACAACGTAGGAATCAAGCAAAGGACTCGCGCGTGCGCGGGCTGGGTAGAGACACCCCAACACCCCACAGGTGCCGCAGCGGCACCATTGAGGCACTGCGCCCTCCTTTCCTTGTCCGCGTATCCGACTCGAGTGTATGTCAACTCCGAACATACGCACCTTGAAAATCGGAGCAAAGGCCATGGCAGATGATGCCATCACCAGACACAAGGGTACAAAGGTTGCGCGTTCCCGATACGATACGCCCACAGGACACTGATGGTTTTTGTCACAGCGGCGACAGATTGCGTCTCTATGCCCCCTCTTGGCACAACGCGGTGGTGGTGGTGTTGTTGTAGCTGCTGCTACGGAGAAAAGTGTGGTTCGATGTTGCTGTGGAGAGGGAGAGTTGAGTGATGGTGATGACATTCACGCTGGAGAGAGAGACCAAAACAGAGTCTGATATAGTCTAGAAGGTAAAAGAGCCGATTCTTGTACTCTGCGTTCCGTCGGAAAAAGAGTGTGGTGTGGTCGTGTTTTTGTGGATGTCTTCACATTCAAAAACCGTTCCGATCTCTCTCTACCCGGTACCTTCGTATGTCCGTACCGATCCAATACTCGACGCGGTAGATTCCCGTGGTCGCAGGCTAACTTGCCCTAAAAAGGTACACTCAAATAAACTGGCCCCGAGGGGTCCGCTAGTCAATAGAAATCAACGACAGATATTCTGGAGTCCTCCACTCCCGTTGCGCGCTATGCGAGGTAACAACAGAGACTAGGGGTCACCATCACGGGCCGGAGAGAACCCCTGGGTTCAATCTTGGGACTTCACACAACGCAAGCAGAGACAAGGCCATCTGGCACAGAAAATGAGGAAAAAAAAAAAACAGAGAAAAAGTCTTCAGAGAAGAAAAATAAAAGGAAATAGTAAAATAACAAGGCCATTTGTTATAATAGGGCATTTGTTACGATGTCTTTTTTTAGGCTGTCTTTTTTTCAAAAAATGACAACTGGCCAAATAGCCCCGTGTTCATAGGCTGTCAAATAAGGTTCGTCATTTTTTCGTCGTCATATTTTAGCAAAAAAATACGTTGCAACACGGGGCTACTTGGCCAGTTAGTTGTCATTTATTTAAAAAAAGACAGCCTAAAAAAAGACATCGTAACAAATAAAAAAAGAGAAAATGAAACGAAAAAGAGCGGCGACAAAAAGTAAATCGACTTGGTTGTGACGTGCGGAACTCGAAAAATCTTGCAGACGATGCAACGTACACATGCACGCGGCATCATCAGTCAACCACAGCAGTTAGCCCGCGGTGGACGCTCGAGGTTTTTGACAAAGCACGATATAGAACGCGCGGCCAAATACTCTTGGGCGGAAAACAACGGAAAACTATCTGGCACTCTAGTCTAAACCCTCTCTCTGTGGAACAGTGGAACCCTCGTCCAATCGTGTGTTCTACTTTATTCTAGTTGCGAGAGTCATCGCACCCCTCCCTGTGTGCGGTGACTCCGGACATGTCTATTCTCTCTGCGACACAGCCAACCACCGTCTGAGTCACGGCCCACTGTCTGAATCACGCCTTCTGTCTGCCTTCTTCGTGCTCTGCACTCCGGCACATCACCATCTTCTCTCCAACCCTCAACACACGCATACAAACAGAAAGCTGGGGGTTCCGCGTTGCTCAACTACATTATTGGTCATCGTGTGTTGCTCCGAAGATGCATGTTAATGTTTGCTTAGTTGATTGAGCATTCGCTCTCGGCCAAGTCAATGACACCAAAAGAGCCGAGTCTTCTTCCTGCGAAGGTCACGTTTTGACCAAAACCTGACAGGAACAAATAACAAAAATAAACATATACTTGCAGTAGTTACCTCCATGAAATCAAAGAATTGGCATCACACACGAAACTTTTGACTTACGGCTCGTGGTGTTTGTTCCCTTTGCTCTTGGCTCTCGGGAGACGTCTCTCCANCCCCCCCCCCCCCCCCCGCCCTGCTGCCGCATCTCCCGGTGGTGCTGTCGAGCACCCGTCTCCAACGTTCCTAGACGGATCATTCGGTCACACCCACCCCCATCTTGCCCGCTGTCGAGCAGTGCATATATACATATTCTACATCCTGCCGAAACACAACAACAACAACAACAACAGGCACACCCCACGGCAGGCGCTGGTCTCGCACATATTCCGTGTGCTCGAGGGGATACACACCTACAAACGCAGCCCTCAGCTTCATGTGACGACGCCCCCCCTGCTCAACCCCCCCCCCCCGGGATCTTCGCATCGGGGTGGCTATGCTACAACCATCCACCCTATATCTTCTCCCAACAAAGCAGCGAGGTGCTCGTACACACCCACGAACAATGTGGCGGTGGCGATGCGGTCTCCACTGGCCCTTTTTGCCGAGCTGCCTACAGCTAGCTCATTTATGGGTCCATTTTGGCGCCCGCTTCTCGGCAAACGCTGCCATGCCTTCTTTCTGGTCATCCTGCACGACCGACATACACACACACGGACCACGAGTATATAAGGAGGGGGACGGGGCGGCGGCGGGGTTTGTACGCGGAGCTCCCAGGGATGCCTAGAAACCCCGGGCTGACCCAACATGTTTGGGCGTTGTTGTATAGGCAAACACACCAAAAAACATTCCCAGGGCTCACGCACGTACATAATCCCACGAGTTTGGGCCGGGAGACGCAACTGAACCTTCTCGCCCCGACGTCTCCTATCGGTTGCCAATTTCTGCGTGTCCAATCAACGCAAGGAGACTTGCCTCTTCTCCTCCTGCGCTTGAGTGCGGACCGGTAACAACACGCTGTTAGTCTTGAGGGCAACGCTAAATAGTATCTACCGCGCGGGCCCCCCCCGACAGAAGGGGGGGCGGGGGCGGCGGAGGTCTCACAGAAAGGACTTGCCTTCCGATTCACAAAGAAAGGCGCTCGCCCGTGTTCCGTGCGGTGACAAGACAGTGTGCCAACCGGTCTAAAACAAAAAAATCACTAAATTTAATCGGTTCGACAAGTACGTGTGTTCGTGCTGTGGAGTAGTCTAGTAAGTAGTTCGGCTAAGCTCACCAGGGCGAAGCAAGAGTGAAACATCCTGCGCTCAAGGCGGCACCCCTCAGCGAGGGATCCCTCGAAAGCTGCGTTCGTCGCCTCCTTGGCCATGAGGGCCACCGGGAGAGACATGGAGCCGATCTTCGCCGCCATCGCGACGGCCTGGTCCACCAGCTCCTCCGCAGGGTAGACTCTCGCCACCAATCCTGATCGCGGTGTGTCCGTGAGGGAAGGGGCACAGGTGGGTTACATGAAAGGGGGTGGGTGGGTGGATGGGTGTCCTATGGGCTTGTTTTCCGGTGGCGGGAAGGCGGGGCGTACTTCAGGTCATGCCAAGGCTGCATGTCAGAAATCGGGCGGGGTATGCCACGTAGTATTGCTTGCGGGTAGAGAGGACGGGGAGGCCGGGGTTGCGCCATGCCTCTACCGACACTGGGTGGAGCGCAAATCGAGGGCCAGTCTATACACCACGCTTGCTTCCGGTTCGATGCACGGGGCCACCGTCCACCCATCCTTTCCTCCCCGGCACGCCCCGCACAGGGGCTGGACCTCCCCGGCACGACCGTCAAGGGCCGTACGAACCGCCTACAAACACACAGCCGGCCTACTCCCGTGCATGAACAACATGTCGGGGGACTTCCTCTCGTGGCCTGCAACGGTTCTGTTTCTCTCTCATCTCCTTCCCTCTTAGCCCCCCCCCGTCCCCGACAACTTCCTTCCTGGTCTATGCATATGTCTCGGTCTCTCTCCCTTTTTCTCTTTGTCTTTCTCTCTCTCTCTCTCCATC